ATTTGCCCACACTTCACCCACCTACAATAGCTACAACAAAAGTTAATTCAGGAATTTTATTGTGCAAATAAAACTATACAGTTCATACCATTCACAAAACAAGAAGCATGAGTGAAAATGAGCATACCTCTACAAATCTGACTCTGATGGTGTGAAATGAAAACATCTGAACCCACAATTTTATATATTAATGACTACGATTATTGCCACTTAGTTTGGAAACTAATCTACAAATGGTGGAGAAGATGGAGGGTCTTTAGTTATAGTTGTAATGTTGAGATCAAATGATTCTGACGAGCGTGGGGCATACATATACAATTAAGCTCATCCACAATCATGTTTTATATTTATAAACTCCTAAATACTCCACACGTGATTTATCGCAAGTATACGAATCGTGAGCGAGTATAGGGTATTAAGGGTCGATCCCACAGGGAAGAGTGACAATTACCGGTGTTTTTCGAACTCCTTTATTATCTAGACTACCATAAATATAAAATTAATGAAAATAATACTAGAAAACTCCTAGAGGTATGGAATTTCTTACTATACTTGCAAATGAGATTACCGGTTAAATGAATGCTATTATCTTGGCTAGTTATGGCGTAATTTCCTAATATATGTGAAACCTACTCTCATAGTGAATCAACTATACTTGTATTAAGCCATACCTACTCTCGTGGTTATGAAATTAACTATAAGTCATTTTTTCTATGAAATTACATGAAACAAGTCACTTAAGCCACAAAGGTGCACCTCTACTCTCATGAGTGTACTCTCTAGGTTTATCACTTTCTTGAACTAGTCCTAAATTCCAATTCTCATTGCAAATTTAATACCTTTAGATAATCACAATTAATGGCCGGTTAATCATGATTAGAAAAGCAAAAGTGATAAATAACTTGCTCAAAATAATATCAGCACATAACCAAATAAACATCACTAACAAGATATAGCAAGTTCAACCATAACTCTAGGCATAAACTTTAACTAAACATGAAAGTAAGATCCAAACTTGTATTATAGTTAAACATGAAATCAAATACAAAAGAGAAAGTAATAGGAGAGAAGTCACCCTTATCACATGAGCTTCAAACTCTCCATCTTTGCTCCTCCAATCTTTATCCAAATTTAACTACAAATACAAGAAGGAAACACTACACTAATTACTCTATACTACCCTAACTAATGAACTAAGGAAACTCTAATGAAAGCTATATTTTTGGTGAGTTTCTCTAGCCTTCTAAAATTTTTTAAAATATCCTTCAATGGCTGCTATTTATAGAGGATTCAAGAGCCAAATGAGTTGTTTCTAGTTGTCATTTTTTACTCTTGAAACTCTCTAAGTTTGCTTCTCAAAGTTTCCATGCATCATCTGATCATTTGCAACCGGAATCTTTGCAGAAAAAGTGGTCAAAAAGGTTGTGTGAAAAGGGCACAAGTTGCAGAGTAAGTTGCAGCCAAAATCTACTAAAGCGCGGGTAGAAAACGCGGCCTGTGCCCGCGTTTTGACCCCCGTTTTGATCTTTGTAGGTTTACACTTTTCTGGGCAGAATTTATCCTTGCTTTATTTTTGGCCCAATTTCAACTACTATTTTCTTAATGTTAGAGGCTGAACTAGCTCTTGTATAAAACATGAAAGTTGTAGCCCTTTGAGTTAGCTTTTCAATGCATCAAGAATCATCCAATTTGGAAACTCTGTGGACTGATAAATGACCAAAATACCCTTAACTGGTTAGAACCTTATTTCAGCTTTCGACCATAAAAATGCACTTCTGTATTTCGACTTTTTGACAAGGAAGACAACTAAAATGGATTTTGATGTCTTCATACCAAATATAGATACATCTCTTAGCTTCAAAATAGTATAAGCATCACCTCAATCCGATCATTGTAGCCCAATATATAGTGAAAATACCACAAGGTGTCAAAGCTGGAAAACCTTTCTTCTTTTGTTCTTAATTGCATTTCCTCTCTTGCACTTCATATCTTCTTTTTATCACTTTAAACCATCATCAATCATCCAATTATCTTCTCAACTCATGCCATTTGATGATTGAATCATTAAACCTACAAAAACATGAAGTGTTTGCGATTAAAATCTATAGAAATGCAATTTTTACCAGTTAAACCATAAAATACATATGTTCACTAGAAACCTAGTTAATTAGCTATAAAGCTAACTAAAACTACCAAATCTAACTAATAAAACACACTAAAAAAACACGTAAAATATACGCTTATCAGATTCTTAATCTCCCACACTTTAATGAACTCTTCAACATGTTTAGTTCAAATGAGTGTGTTTTGTTGGAAGAACTCAATTAATGTTTCTTGAGCTTTAACAATGAAGAGCACAAAACTTCTACAGTTACAGTTCACAAATAGTCTTCAAATGGTTCTTCTACTTTGGCCCATTAATATATCGTCTTAAACACATTTAATTCAATTGGATGGTTTTACCCCAATTCACCCCATTTCCTTTCTATCTTACCATTATACTAAACGAGTAGTTAAAAGGGTGAAATTGTCGCTAACAACACATAAACACCATTTGCGAATGTAATTATCATCTCACAAAGGGCACTTTAGTAAACTCATACTCCAATGAGCTTGGCCTGCTTGTACACTAAGGTGGATTACTTGTATGATATTTATACAATCCCTAAATTGCCCCTTAAAATGTCAGATGAAAATCACCCAATAGACAAACTACAACTCCTATATATATATATATATATATATATATATATATAACTTAATATTACAAGTATATATACTTACAAAAGCAGCATGCTGCCCTCACCGTTATTTTGGGCTAGATCTTTTATTGAGCACTAGATCATTTTGAAATATTGCAATTACGGGTGCAAACGAGTCGAGTCGAGTTTTGGTCTAATCAAATTGAGTCTTAACTTAGTTTTATGAAACTCGAGTCCGATGAGTTCAAAATGTAAAGTTCGAGTTTAAAAAAATAAAAAATATAATTATTTTATTTTTAAAAAATTAATAAAACAATAATTTTTCTTAACAAAAATATTAGAGATATATATATGTAATTTTACTATTAAAATAAAAATTATATATAAATACCGCGAGCTAACGAACTGAATATTTTTGAACTTGAGTTCGACTTCGAATTCGATTTGGTCAGTTTGAACTCGACTTGACCTACTCGTGAGCGATTCAATTCATTTGCAACCCTAATTGTAGCCTTCACCAAAGCTATTGTTTTTATTTAAAATATTTTTTAGTTTCTTTGAAAAAATAATAACTTCATGGGTATTTTGTTTTATAGTAAAATAATTTTACTACAGAATGTGCAAAGTATATGCAGATTTACCATTCGGAACCCTCAATAAGGATACACATATTGACGGTATGATTTCCTAGGAAGACCATACAATTTTTTCTAAAAAAAATGACACTTAAATATATTTAGTCATATAATAATTTAACCACCACAACTTGCATATAACTACTGGGAAAGATACATGTCGTGCATGTACACTTTTAAAAAAAGTGCCAAAATACCAAAAAAGATATAGAAAGTTATTAGTAGAAATATTTTAAAAAATTTGATTTTAGATCTTTTTTATAAATATAAGTGTAATCAGTAGTGAATTGTGATTATATTTTACTGATTCGTAATATAACAATATATTGAACAAACCATAAACTGACAATTTCTTTTAACATCATGCTCGGTGGTGAATAGGACAGTATTATACTTTAAATAGGGCATTATTATACTTCAAAAATTATTGAATTATTATGTAAAGAGATATCAATGTACAACTATGTATTTATTTGGGTATTTCTTAAAATTTTCTAGATTTTATTCAAGTAGTATTCAATTTTCTATTTAATTAGCTTTGAAACTATTGTACCATAAGGAGAGATGTCTTCAAGTTATTGGTCAATTAGGAAACAATGTAAAGGACATATAGATTTTTCAAAATATAGGTCGTAATTTCAAATGAGAAGGGTATTCCTTAGAATTGATTTGGCGCAATTGTGACAAAAACCTAAAACATCGTATAGTTTTCATGATTTTTCCATCAAAATTGAGAGGGAGGAAGAGGGGTAATTGCCCACTCTCGTAGACTCATAGTGTCGCTCCGCTTCTTATCATGCTGGTGTCTACATATAGAAATAGATAAAGATATTCTATTCATTCGATTGCTTATTAATTTTGATCAAATATAACCAGTGTAAAACTGAACAACTAATGTATAGTGTTTTAGGATCAGGTACAAATATAATATGTACACTTTGCTTATTAAATACATTACACGCGTGTTAATAGGGCGGACAAATTTGAGCTCAGCTTATTAATTTTAATCAAATACAACAAGTGTAAAATTGAATAACTAAGGTATAGTGTGCTAAGATGAGATACAAATATAACACGTACACTTTGCCTATTAAATACATTACACAGGTGTTAATAGGATGGACAAACCTGAACTCGACCTATAAAAAATTGTTTCCTATATATGGCCCAAAAAAATATATGTGCACTTTGCCTATCAATTATATAGAGGGTATACATGTCTGAATTCGGCCTATATTAATAGGCAAAATGTAAGTGTCTGAACCTTGTATATCATTGAGTTGAGTTGAGTTTGGTTTGGGTCTCAAAATGGAATCCATTTTGATATCCAATAAAATTGTGAGCTGAATTTGGATTTAATGAGGCTTAACTTGATGAAAGTCCATTCCGACCAATTAAGAAGATAAGTATATATATTTTTAACAATAATGATATCAATTATTAAATAAATTATATGTATTATAACGTACGTCATTTATAATTTACATACAACTTAAATATTCCGTATAATTATGAATTAATTGTGAACTTGAATCAAGCCCAAACTAAACCTAGAACTCTAATATCTTTGGAATCGAGTATGAACCTTATGCAAATCGGAAACCGAACTCAAAAGCCTGAAAATTCTACTAAAAGGTAAACAATACTAAATTCCACCAAAAAATAATAATAATAAACTTCACCACCATTAGCACATCATATCATAAGAAACTCCTGTTTCCAACAGTTAAAGTGTAAAGAAATATGAAAAAAAATACAAATTTAGCTGCCAAGGATACCTGACCAATTCGCCGGTGCAAAAACCAAAAATGAAAAGGAATGAAATTATCAGACCCTGTTCATTTCTACGTCTGCTAGTTGCCTATTCATCTGCGCTTTATAACAGTTCAGCCTCTTTGCACCCGGATAACTTCAGTACGTTATGGTATAGTATTTCACTTAGCTCAAATTCTGTTATCTTAGCCATCATTCCTGTGGAACATAAGAGGACCATAAATATTTCTTGCAACCTTTCACAGAATCCCCAATTAGTAACCTCTCTCTGAGCCTATGTATGCGTCAAATTCGTCCCAATGAGGCATCTTCTTGCAATTTCCACGGTATACAAGCCACCTTCATTTTGGTATACACCAGGGTACATCGTGGCTTGGCCACACCTTGTTTTGGAAAGGCATCATACCTTTGCAATCAGCCTAACTTTTACATACAAGGCGCAGAAACTTGGTCCTTAACCATTGATTTGATTGTGTTACACATGTAATAAAATTCCAACTGGATTTTTGCTCATGATGATGATTCTGGTTCCATCCCTATTTAACGCACCTTTGACATACAGAAGACAGGCATACGGGTATCCTGGATGAAAAGACAGGAAAAATGTGCATCGCACCCCAAAAGAAAAAGAAGCCATTGTATCAATTAATCAAGACAGAATTTACAAAATACAAAACATTCTCAGTTACCACTTTACAAATACCTGTGTACAAGTCTCAAACTTTGTAAACTCTGGCTGGCCATCTATGATTGGTCGGTCATACATAAGTTGAAATTTTCTCGATGGTTGCTGCTGCTGCTCAATTAATCAATCCTCTCCTAACAAATTAAATTACTACACAACTAAACACACTGAACATGCCCGGGGTCAGAACTACATGACTACACACGGAACTTTGATCATGTATACACTGCTGAACCATTGGATTCCACGTGTAGCCAGTGAAGATTCTTTGACCCTCTCCCTTGCACAAATAACATAATACAGCCCAGTTATCATCCCGCAGTATATTTCTGTAAAAACAGAACTAGGTGGCTGTTCCATCCATTTCAGAAACTACGAATTGCAGTCCAAAATCATATCTTTTAGAACATTGTTGGTAAAAACAAAAAACCAAATCATTCTTAGCGTACACTAGAGAAAGAAGGGACTCTAGTGATCAGCACCAGCATTAAACAAAGATTATGGACTCTTAAAAGCAAGCAATGGAAAAAACAAATTTTCTAATATAAACGGGGAATGTAGGGCATGAAAAACCAAAAGAACTTCCACACATTAAAGAAACCCGAGTCTTGTAATCCTACAAATTCTACCATGCCAACAACTAAAAATTCTGTTCAAACATTCATTTGGCTGATATCAGTAAATATCTAGATATCATCCATAGATCCAACGACACAACTAACTTGAAAATGATGTGGCCCACTCAGGAAACTAAAGTGTTAAAAGTTTTGACAAGTGGATGACCTGATAGTAACCAAATTTTCAACCAAAAACCATGCAAAAATCTTCAATAACAAATACATGTATCCTTGAAGATTTGCCAGCACCTCTTAAAAATTCATAAATGACATACTGCTTTTATAGTAAAAATTGAAACACCGTAAAAATAAATAAATAAATAAAACAGTGAGGTGTAACTGAAAGAAAAGAAAAGAAAAGAAACCAAAAATTATACCTCTTTTCCGCTACCATTGCCTGGGGGGGGGGGGTGATGGCACCATGTCAGTGCTTTGTTGCATATCCACTAGATTGCCAGAAGTTTCTCAGTTTTGCAGATCGTATTGTTGAGTAGGTGAAAGAGGAGGGTTTTTTTTTTCAGTAAGAGAGATAAAGTGTTAGTGAAGAACAATGGAGATGACGCATTTTGATTCTCTAAAAATTTTATTGGAATGCAAATATGTTTACCCTAAAAACATGACTCCACAACACACAGAGAGAGAGAGAGAGAGAGAGAGAGGGCTTATGATTCACACCTGAAAAGCATCAATCATATTTATTTTGATTTTCAGCTTGCGTGACCTCTAGAAAAACTGGAAGTACGTAAAGATACAGGACATAGATAACAGCCTTATCAAGCCAGAAGCCAAAATCAGGTATCACAATCAACTGAGCACAGCTCTGAGAGTAATGGATGCAAGAGAAATGAAGATAAGAAAACTTTGCATGCAAACTGCAATACAATTGTCCTGGGCAAAACAAAGGTCTAAGAATCATTTGGAACTTTACTTCCAAACTTCTTTAACAAAAAATCCACACAAGAATGGTACTACCAACTACCATGTAAAGGATGCTGATCCGGCTATTGCTGCAATGTACTTTTCCCACTTGTCCGATTCTTCTGAACTTCAAAAGCATTTCCTTGGGTACTTTACAAAAATAGTGAAAGAACCATCAAATTAAGGGAAAGCAGTTTGAGTACAGACAGTCGTTCATCATAATATGCCTAATCATGTACTAAAGCATTCATTTCCATTATTAGTCTGACAAGACTTTCAGAACAGGACATCAATATGCTCTTCGAAGGATCAATTTTTGGTTGAGACGTCTACACATCAAAGTCATAAACAGTTCCAAGGCACAAGAAAGCATCCACTGAATTGCATAAGGTTTAGCACCCAAGATACGATTGGACAGGTATTACAGGGATGATCAAAGCAAACAATATGAGCCTCACATATCATTCAGATTCTCCTCGAAGTCGTAATGCAAACCTTTGCAGGGATAAAAGAACCTCCTTTAACCTCTCTTTAGCAGCAGCATCAAGCAAATTGCCTTCACTATCAAACTTTGCAGGCTTTTCAAATGCATTAAGGAAAAACTCAGGTTTGTTGATGAAGTGAAGGTCAAGGTAAACTCCGCTCTGCCGGAGATGATACTGCGATCGTCCCCCACCAAAACTTCCTCCAGCACTAACAATTGCAGCTGCTTTATCGGCCCAAACATTTGGAGGTCTAGATGCCCAGTCAACTGCATTTTTCAGAGGTCCTAGTAGGAATGGGAAAAAATTGTGTTACTATAATTAAGTGGCAAAGAAACATCAAATTCAATATATTGGTGGATTTAGCAATGGATGACATCATCATTTAAAACCCTTACATGTGCAGATCTCTGCACTGCAGTTTGTGTATAACGCTTTCATACTCCCTGATTTATCACTTATGATCAAAAGAAGGTTCATGAACCAGTAAAAGAGTAAAATTGAATGGAATTGCCCTCTAGTATTGCAACTAAACTATCATAATCCTACTCAGCTTTTAAGATTTAAATTTGACAACTTGGAGCATAAGCAGTGTCAGATGAGCAAAATGTAAAGCAATGAAATCATACTAACAAAATTAAAAAGACAACCTCATCTTAGCTCAAAGAACCAGTGACTCTATCCTAAGCTTGCTTTGCAAGATTAGGCTGGATAAAATGGTGGAGGATAAAAAGGGTTTATTGGGATGACAGAATCCAAGTATCTAATTATTCATTAATGATATGGAGCTTACATTTATGTCTGTTCTAAGCTGTGCAAAGCACAAAAGGTAATCTCATTGTTAACTAAAACAGGATGTTAAAAAGAAAAACAAGGCTGACTGAGAATATACTCCTATGCTTCACATATCTGCCTCTTCACCATCTCTACCAATCCCCCAATCCCCCCTCCCTATTGATGGACAATTGCATTCCCACACAAAATGATGAGGAACAGAAAAGAAAAGTGTCTTTCCCATAACCCCGTCTCTTGGTTATCCAATCATGTGAACACTCCTATGGATCATAACTGCCTGAACTACAGCCTAACAATTGATTACTAATAAATTTCAATCAAAACAATTTTGTTAATAGCATTTGGGGACTGTTAAATAAATATGCTAAATCTGACAAGAACATAATCTAAATGATATCGAGGGTCAATATAATCAGTTACTTGATAGCATGATTGCCAAGAAAGTGTAGCAATTATTACAATAAAATCAGGGAAACCATAACAATATAAATTTCAAATAAGTATCATTTAGCGAGCCTCATAAATCTCAGTACACAAACCTTTATCTTCTTGTGACTAAATAAGACTTTAATCAATAATTGAGCACAACATTAGACATTCAGGGGCTTTAACACAATATTTACAAGTCAATACAAGAGAAAACTTTTCAGTCACAAACTCATTAGTCATGGAAACCCCAATATTAAACATGGAGTTCAGCATCAATGCACAACCTTTCAAGTACATAAATCCTGTTACACTTCTACCTTGAAACAGCTAAATCTAATACATCTAACTTCAAAAGAAAAGGAAACAATTCCATCATCATAACTGTCTCTTTCCTTTGTAGTCAATGTCCATCTCAAGCTCATATCTCAACCACAACCTATACATGTTTCAGAGTTGAGAACTAGCACCAACAGACTACTACCAAACATGATGAGATAAACTAAATCACAATGAAATATCAAAAATAAAGACCTATCTGGGAAATGCATAAAATTCTTTGTACAAACCAAAGATAACTATATTGTTAGATATGCATTTCGTACTCAGGTCGGATGACCTGCTTTAGAAAAATAAAATTTGTTTAAAACACAGTCTACAATAACACTCTAAAACACCCACAAGTTTTAGGAAAGCACCAAAAAGTGAAAGTACATTACATAGAGTACTGGTGGCAGAGATGGGTACCGGCAGTGGGTGGCAGGGGTGAGGGGAGGTGGTTTTTTGGAAAATAGAGGATGTTTTGAGTGTTTTAGACAAACACTGCAATTTTTTCTAAAACTACTACAGTAAGCAACAATAAAGTTTTAGACAAACACCCAAAGAATACACCATCCAAACAGTCCCTCAAGCATTTGAAAGTCTTACATGAAATCTTAAGTGGGCATCAATCAATAATCCCCAGCCCAAGAGCCACTACTACAGCATTATTTGTTAAACTGGTTTGATTCTGGGATTTGAATATCTCCTTAACTCAATGTATACACAATTAGCAGCCACTAAATCCAGTAAACAATGTTACTTCTTCACCTGTGCTTGGTTTGTAAACATTTTTGCAAAGTGTTCTCAGGTACAACAAAGTACGGAAAACCTTATGTTTTCTGTTAAAGTACATTTTTCAAAAACACTCATTTCCACATCCTTTGAAAACTATAACATTTTTCTCAGGCAACTTAAACAGATGTCTAATCAGGAATACACTTCAATTGCATCCGTACCAAATGCAACTCATATTTTTCAAGTTCAAGATTTATTTTTCTATTTCTTTCCCGAAGAGGAAACTACATCCACAAGCCATAAAATAGATCTGATAAAGTAGAGTAACAAGAAGCAGAATCAGGATTTACATGGAATCGCATTTCAACTGTGAAAATTACTTTGTAGGATAACCCTCAAGGCCTGGCATGTTATCAGTCACCCTCATGTTTATTTAACAAGGGAATAAAGTTCCATTTTCTTCTTGAAGTTCATACCTTGCATTGGCAGTCCTCTGTATGCTTCATAAGTTCCATTCAGGCCATTGATTACAGTAAATATGTTGAATACAAAGAGAATTATATTGAATAATTATAAAAGTAAACAAAACAATTGGTATTCTTAACAGCGTTAATTGTAAGTTTAATAAACTTGGAGATGAATTGAGTTTCAGTACCAGTAACAGAGTAATTATACTCTGGAGAAGCAAAGAGATAGCAATCAGCTTGTTGAATCTTTTCCCTAAAAGCCTCAACTTCTGAAGGATATGTCCCATCAACCTCCAAGTCCGTATTTAGAAATGGCAATGGCGATATGTCCACATACTCTATGTTCAAACCCTTAACTGACTCCTTAGATATCTCCATTGCTTCAATAAAATCAAATATAAAAGGAAGTTACAACCTAATAACACATGAATTAAAGGTAAAAATTGAAATCTAACTTGAGAGCTTCCCAAGAATCCGTTTAGGTTTTAACAAATTGTTCAAATGGTTTTTTACCTGTAAACTGATATAATCAATCCAGAAAACAATTGATATTTGGCACTACTATAATTGATGTTGGCACAACCCCTGACTTTCTGAATCACGTGAAGAGGAAAAGGGGAAAAAAAAATCGTCTTTCATTGTGTTTACAGCCATCATTGCTGTATCACAGTGAAGATTTCTTTCTTTCTTTTGTGTGTGTGTGTGTGTGTGTGTGTGTGTGTGTTTTCACATAATTGGAAGTCAAGGGAACCAAGAAACTATTGGAAATATGAAAAGAATCCAAATTAGGAAGTCCAGTTACATGTTTTCAGGGGAAAAATACAAGGAAAAAAAATATAAGCAGCATGAAAGAGAAAATTCTTTAAGTATGCTCGAACTTAAAACCATGCTACAAATGGGTCCATTTCGAAGTGGAATTCTAATTCAGTGGTCTTTGCGTTCCTGAAATACAAACCCAAGTCCAAGCTCACATTTACAACATGCAAGCTCAGAGTGGCTTATTTTCTTCAAAAAATTAATATATTTAATAGAGATTGCATTCAAAGAGAGTGAGCACTTTTTTCAGTTATTTAGAATTAGGCAACATATGAATGCGACAACTTTTCATCTAAAACAATTATAAGTCAAACTGAAGCGTCAGCTCAATCAAATGAAACTCGATACGCATGTAAGAAAACATAAAAATTAGACTTTTCCTCCATTATTCCTCCATTCATCATCAGGCTCACCGACATATTATCACCACAAAAATTGGCAGAACAATATAATAAAATAACAATATGAGCTCAAAATTACTGAAACCAAAGTCGTCTAAACATCATTTTCTTTCCTATTCAATAGTTTTAGAATTTGCTCCAGCATGAAGTTAAATAAATTAGACTACATTTTCCTGTTTCTTGATTAACAGGGTTCCGTTAAATTAACATCCAACAAAAGAAAAAGAAAAATACAATATCTCCTAAAATTACCAATCAAGAAAAATTATACTGTAAAACTTCAATCAGAGATTATACATCCCGGTGTTTTGCTATCAACGGTTGATTCAACTTCATTTCTTTTATGGCTATCACAAACTCAATCAAAATGAGTAACCAAAATTGCTATAGGAAGGACAGGGGAAAGAAAGGAAAGTAATATTTGGGGAGGAGATTATTAGGACAAATAAGCATAATACCAGCTCGAAGGAGGCCGCGGTTGTAAGAGCCTTTGCGAAGGGAACCGCAGACAGCGGCGACGTTTATCAATGGTGGACCACGGACTACTGCAGCTTCCATCCTCGATCTTAAAATGGGAAGATTTTGTTAAAAATTGGATGACGGGCCAGAACTGGGATAGGGATGGGGAGAGGGATGAGTGAGAGTGGACTAGAAAATCACATGATCCTATCCTTGATCTTAATAACATTGAACGTGTACGGTAGTTTTCTTTTCTCTTTTCTTTTTGGTGTAAACTTTACTAAACCCGACCGATCTGGAATCAAGCACTGGCGGATCCTTCCGGGTTGGCTCTCCCATGACGTAGGGACTGGCTCTGCCATCGTTTTCTTCATCCGTAATTAGCTTTAGGGGTAAGAAAATGTTGGCAAAAAAAAAAAAAAAATTAGCTTTAGCGGTAGCAATCGGTCCAAATCGGATTGAGATCCGGGTATAACAAAAAATTCGCTGATCCAAATCCGACTTGTCAACCCGAAACGGGTCAGGAGAGCTGATCTGAACTCGAAAATTTCAGGTTAACGGGGGTCGACCCGAAATGACCCGAAACTTAATTTTAATTTTTTAATTTACCATTGTAATTTCTAATAAAACCAATTTCGCCCAAGACTAATTACATAATCAAGTAACAAAAATTTAAATAACTAATCCCAAACCAAATCTAAAATAATTTAAAACACCATAAAAGTGTTTTATCCCAAACCAAATACAAAATAAATTAAAACAGTATAAAACTAAAAAATAATATAATACATTATTTGTCTAAATATAATAATTTCAACTGCACACAAGTTAAATAAATTCATTTAGGATTAAGTGATTAATGCCTTTGGAAAAAAAGAATAACTTAGTTTAGTTAGATAAAATAATTTTTATGTTTATTAAATTATTTTTAATTCGTAAACGGATTATCGGGTCATATCAGGTCACCTACGGGTTGATCCGAATTCGACCCGTTTTCTTTTCGGGTTCATCGGGTTCGACCCGAGTCTGACCAGAACCCGCGAAATCTCAATTCAAACCCATTAATTTTGTGTTAGATTCATGTCGTATTTTCAGGTCGTGTCGAAAATTGCCGCACCTAATTAGCTTCATCATGTCAATTTTATGTACATTGATGTAATTTGGAGGGGTTTTGCTGGGTTTTTGGTCCATCAGGCTTTAAGGGTTGGGGAGACGAGAAATTAAGGGAAACAAAAGAAAAGAAGAAAGGACTCACTTTTGAGACTTGCCGTCACCACATCCTCTATTTATCTTGAGAAATTTCCCAATGGTGTCCCTTTTCTACAATTTTTCAAATAGGCTATCTTCTTTCGTTTTTTTTTTTTTGTCACTCATCACTTATTTAATTTACTCTAACTCTTATTCTCACTCTAGTTTAATCGAGGGGAGGCTCAATTGGATATATAGGGGAGCCGATGGGGACAAAACTGTGAGGACCCGAGTTTTTCCTTACTTTTAATTCTATTTTATTGACTTATTTAATTATTTATTCAACCGTTTTCTCCGAATAATTTATTTCAATCATTTTAAATCTATTTACATGAAATACTGTCTCACTTATATTTTTAAAATGTCCCGTTAGCAAATTTAATTTTTCGGAAACTCATTTATTAAAAAATAGTGAATACACATTTTTCGAGACAATATTTGAATCAAGAGTGCAATAATCCTGGAGAATTAAGAATGAGTAATAGTAGACTAAGAAAAATTAATTGATGGATTAGAGGTGAGTGAGTTAAAAATTTAAGCTTATACCGCGAGTGCATCGAAAGTTTCCCGAAAGTCCCGCCTGTACAAGCTAATTGGAGATTTGAGAAATTAATACTTGTGAGGACTCATATTTTTATTTCAAAATAGTTAGTTTTTAGGATTATTTACCCTCGTATTAGTTACTTATATTATCGTTACAAGAATTTCTTTTAAGTTTCGCTTTATCGCGCGCGAATAAGAAGTTCCGTATATCGAGTCAGAACGGCTAAGTGGAGATTTAAGAAATTAATACTAGACTACTAAGAGCGAATAATTATAATGCTAAAGGAAGTACATTAAAGGTTTAGTGTACAAATGAAACAAACCCGAGAGAAAACAGATACGAAACGCGCGTGCGAGCACTATTGGGAGTTGACTTTTGTTAGAATTTTGCCCAAAATCTTTAAGCTTCTCACGGAATCTTCACATAATATCAAAACCTTCTCCTCACTCCATTAGTGCCGGCCGAACAGCAAGAAAAAGAAAGAAAGAAGCTCACTCCATTTTTACTTCAAATCTTTTTCCATTTCATCTCAAACTTTGCATCCAACTCATAAATTACGTGGAGATTCACTTAAGCTAGAAGAAAGGCATCATCCTTGCGGTTTTTTGGAGCTTTAGTGGTGCAAAAATTTCTGGTTTCTCTCAAGGTTAGGAGGTAATCATCCAACACCATCCAATCTTTTATTTTTGGCTTTGAAACTTGTAGCTTCATTATAGTTATTGTTAGTTGGATTGGATTGGTTGAAGTGGGCTCTATGAACTCCCACCTTGGTTGTAAGGACTGATATGATGATAATATGTGTGTTAGGGTGTTTGTGGTGAGTGTTAGTGTGTAGATGAGTGTTAAGATTTGAAAAGGAAGAGAGGAATCGAAGGAAAAATTTCGCAGGAATGCTAGACAAATCTGTCCTGTTTTTGCCGTACTTATATTTCGAAATTTTGGGGCTCAAATGGTTGTGAAACTGATATATATATATATATATATATATATATTGTATATGGTGTGCAGAAAGATTCTACTAAAAATCATTTGAATTGGTTGAGCAAAACATGAAATTTTGAAAATTTCAGAAAACTGGAAAACGTGTTCTGGGCTGATGAATAGTGTCTCTTTAATGAACATATCTCTCTGTACAAAAGTCAAAATCGAGTGCCATTTGTGGCATTTGAAACTAGACATTTTTAGCTTTCCAATGGTATAAAATTCACCATCTAGTTCGAATTGAGTGACTCGTAGTGGTTCACCAAAGTTGTCTATTCTGTTCTGCTATTCTGTTCGAATAGCAGTGGGAAGATGCAATTTGTCGCCTGAGTTTGAACTATCTATGAACTGATTTTCAAAATGACTTCTTCTGATGAAATGTAGCCTTTTGAATCTAGTTTTCAACGCCAACGACCATTCTCAATTCCAAGTTGTATTGAGTGAGATATGGTATAATTTGTAAACTGCAGCAGAGCTGGAAAACCCTACTTTTTGCTGGCCAACTGATTTGGTTATTTGTTAGATGCTTTGCTTTGAAAATTTCGATGTCAACCAACTATGAACTGCTTATGAAATGTTTCTTGGACCTTGGTTTCACAAATGAACTAAATTGGAGTTGATTTCATTGGGAAAAATGTTTGAAAAAGGAAAAGAAAGCAAGAAGACAGATTTGTTTTGGAAATTCCTTGAACTTTGGTAGTTTTGTTAACTACCTTTCCATACAATTTTTACATGAAATTTGATGGGGAGTAGTCCTCATATGGAAGTTGAATTGTACCAATTTTGGTGTCAATCTAAGACCATTTGGATATACAAATGATGTGCCAAATTTGTTCTTCAAATCTGGAAAATTGACCAAACAGTCTTCATTCTGGCCAACTTTGAGCTGCTATATCTCAATGCTCAAAACTCTGAATTTAGTTCCGTTTATTATGTTTAAAACCTTGATTGGAACTCTAATAGTGTTACAAATTTTAGAGGCTAGTTCACTTTTTGTAAATTTTTCCGAATTTCCAAATTTTGCTAAAAAACATGATTGAAACTTTCTTGTATGCTCAAGTCAGCCACTTTGAGCTGAAATTTGAATGTTTTCCGTCAGGAATCTTGGAAAGTGTCTTTTGGGAACTTTTAGTACTTTGAACCAAGATTCCAACAGTATAAATTTTTCTGATTTTGGACCTATTGAGTGAAAGTTCTGATTTTTCTAAATTTGACGTACAAAACTGAAATTTTTCCGACTCGATGGAAAATGAGTTTTGGAAACTCTTCCCTATCCTTTGCTATTGGTTGACTGTTTTAAACTTGATTTCATAAAGAAAATCAGTTTTCCTTGTATTATTAAACCCCACTTTTGAGTCTCGAATTACGAGTAATTAAGGCTCTCTTCTATGATATTTTCTTTGTTGACCTTGGTTCCTAGCTTTTGATATTTACAAAACAATGGATAATTCTAATATCTATTCAAGAAATATTTTCAGCTATGAAACAAATCAGGTTCAAAGATCAAGTGCAATTGAAAGGGACAAAGGCTGTTGAAAGCTATCGGACGCTTGGATCGGACGTCCAATAATCATTGCGCAACTTCGGATGCATGAAGAACTCTACCATCGGACGTCCGAAGGAAAAAAGACATTCCCCCTGGATCACTGACGTCGATCGGACGCAAGCATTGAACGTCCGATAGGATCCTTCAAAGTCGACGAAATTATCGGACGCTGAATATGTCTCCACCGGATGTCCGATAGAAACAAGATGATTTCTCAAATCTCTTTGCTTGCTGTCGGACGCATAAAGAACTTGCACTTGACGTCTGATAGAATTGAAGAAAATTTCTCAAACTCACTGCCTGCTGTCGGACGCAAAAAACAGGAGTACCGGACATCCGACACCTCCAACAGCTAGTTGACTGTTCAGCTACTTTCTATCCGTTGGAAGCATTAATGAAGCACTTTCTTGGTCTCCTATAAATAGAGCATGGTCAGAATTTTCAAATAACTTTTGCACACTGAAGATACAAAAGATCTAGAGTAATTTTAGTGAGAAAATACTCTTCAAGGAAGATTTGTAGTCTTAGTGGTGTGAGATTCATTGTAAACTTTTCATTTGTGAGTGAATACTTCATGAGTGTAGCTCTGCGAGGGTTGTCCTGAGGGATGTAAAACGTCTTAACTTGACCGAGTGGAGTTCGGGGCAAGAAAGATTTGTAGTCTTAATGGTATGAGATTCATTGTAAACTTTTCATTTGTGAGTGAATATTTCATGAGTGTAGCTCTGCGAGGGTTGTCTTGAGGGATAGTAAAACGTTTTAACTTGACCGAGTGGGGTTCGGGGTAAGGAGGAGGTGAACCTTCCTTTATACACAAGAGTGATTGTAATTCATCAACTTGAAAAATCTTGTTTGAATTAATCTACAAGCTCAAGAGGAGTTGGGTAGTTAATTGTTTTGCAATTCTTTCCTTTTTATTTTCTTATTGTTACGTTAGTGTTCTTTACATTAATTATCTCTTTTACTCCCAAGCAGTC